ACTGAGGGCGAGACCAGGATGGCGCAGGCTGAGGGCGAGACCAGGGCGGAGCAGCTGGAGGGAGGACCCCTGGTGGAGCCGATGGTAGTGGGGCTGACCACACCAGGGGCCGACTGACAGGGGCGGAGCGGATGGGAGAGGAGACCAGGGTGAAGCTGAGTGACTGACGACATGTGGTGCTGATGAGGGACTGAGGGAACATGGTGATACCGTAGGCTCTGGTGACTGAAGTGATGACAGGGGCACGGAGGGACACAGTGAGGTCAGAGGGCGTGAGGGCTGACGGGTGACTGGAGGGAGTGAGGAGTCCGACAGAACCGGGGGGGGTGACATGACGGGGCGGAGCCAGAGGAATGAAGTCCAAAGGTGAAGGGAGGACGACGAGGGAGCGAAGGGAGTCCGGTGGGTCGAGGGAGCCTGGCCGAGCTGGTGGACTGAGGGGCCATGGAGGAGCTGAGGGAGGTAGGAGCCACGGGGGAGCCAATGGGACCGGGGGCCGAGGAAGTGTCCAGATGGAGGAGGTGTGAGGCGAAGGCCGGGGAAACACGGACCAGGCTGGTTTCGGGGGGCTGAAGGGCAGGAGAGCAGAGGGAGGACAGATGAGAGGAGGTGGGAGAGGGAGGCTGGGCGGGATCCTGGTCTCTGGCGCCGGCTGGACGGTCTCTGGCGTTGGCTGGACGGTCTCTGGCGCTGGCTGGACGGTCTCTGGCGCTGGCTGGACGGTCTCTGGCGCCGGCTGGACGGTCTCTGGCGCCGGCTGGACGGTCTCTGGCGTTGGCTGGACGGTCTCTGGCGCTGGCTGGACGGTCTCTGGCGCTGGCTGGACGGTCTCTGGCGCTGGCTGGACGGTCTCTGGCGCTGGCTGGACGGTCTCTGGCGCTGGCTGGACGGTCTCTGGCGCTGGCTGGACGGTCTCTGGCGCTGGCTGGACGGTCTCAGGCGCTGGCTGGACGGTCTCAGGCGCTGGCTGGACGGTCTCTGGCGCTGGCTGGACGGTCTCTGGCGCTGGCTGGACGGTCTCTGGCGCTGGCTGGACGGTCTCTGGCGCTGGCTGGACGGTCTCTGGAGAGCTGGACGGAACCTGCAGTGAAGAGCATACAGTCTCTGGAAAGCTGGACGGAACCAGCAGTGAAGAGCATACAGTCTCTGGATAGCTGGACGGAACCAGCAGTGAAGAGCTTACAGTCTCTGGAGGGCTGGACGGAACCAGCAGTGTAGAGCATACAGTCTCTGGAGGGCTGGACGGAACCAGCAGTGTAGAGCATACAGTCTCTGGAGAGCTGGACGGAACCAGCAATGAAGAGCATACAGTCTCTGGAGAGCTGGACGGAACCAGCAGTGAAGAGCATACAGTCTCTGGAGAGCTGGACGGAACCAGCGGTGAAGAGCATTTAGATTCTGGAGAGCTGGACGGAACCAGCGGTGAAGAGCATTCAATCTCTGGAGAGCATTCAGGCTCAAAAGGACGGACGGTGAGCGTGGGCTCGGCAGGGCTGACGGTGAGCGCAGACTTCCGGGGAACGAGCCTTAACCGGGGTCGCAGGACCGGGTAGGGGATCCCCCGGAAGATCACGGCGTCCATGTAGTTATTTTGGTCGGTCAATCTGTCACGGTGCGGGTGCAGGCAGAAGAACAGGCGGGTACAGAATCTCGGTAGAGAGACATTTATTTCAAAAACAGGCAGGAAGACGGGATACACAGCGTAACATGGAACATTGACCGACAAAACTGAATCAAACGGGACAGAACTAAATACACAGAGGAATAAGGCTAATTGGAGTGCAAACAGGTGAAAACGATCATGACAGGACGAGGAACAGGTGGCTGATTGGGGGAGTGAGTCCGGGAGAGGAACAAAAGGATCCGGGGAAGTGTGGTGCAGATGACGGGACAAAACAGGTGAGGACGACAGACTGTGACAACAGATTGTATCAAAGCAGCTTCACAGTGATAACATGAAAGTAGTACAACACAGATCAATAATATTGCTAAACACTAAATAACCCCAACTGAGCAAGCCAAAAGCAAGGCGACAGTGGCAAGGAACCAAAACTCCATCAGATTGGATGGAGAAAAAACCTTGGGAGAACCCAGGCTCAGTCGGGGGCCAGTTCTCCTCTGGCTTACATTCATATTGTTTATATATAAATATTAAATATAAATATCGTTTATGTATAAAATGGCGCCATAACATATCGCAGGCGTTGAGTCGTCTCTTCACAGGCGTTGATCTTCTCATCACATGCGTTGGGGAATCCGAAATCCCCGTGAGAGGCTGGAGACAAAACTGGACCTGACGAACGCCATTTTTCTCGGGACAAGCGTCCCGAGATAACAGCAGAAAGGCAGATGGGAAATAATTAGCATAGCTGATGTTCATAATGATTTCCATTATACGGGAGTCGGTGTTAGAAACCACTATCTCACAAACTCTCCGTAACCTGAACTCTCCGGAACCCAGCTAGTCAGCTAGTCAAGTCAAGTCAAGTATATTTATATAGCGCCTTTTACAATATAGATTGCATCAAAGCAGCTTCACACTATCAATCAAAATATAATAAAAATGTTTCTTAGTGGAAAAACATCCACGTTTAGTAGAGCTGATCAAGGGTATTACTGATTGGTTAATTAAGTTGAATATCCCCAACTGAGCAAGCCAAAGGCAATAGTGGAAAGGAACCGAAAAACTCCATCAAGTGACCTAAAGGTGTCCTAAAACTGGTGACCCAATGGTGAAAAAAAACCTTGGGAGAACCCACAGGCTCAGTCGGGGGCCAGTTCTCTGGCGTTTATGAACTAGAGGCCGGATTTACAGTAACTGTAAGGAAAAAATTTATATGAATGTCTCTAAACAGACTTTAAATTGAACCTGTGATAACCTGTTCACATACGTATTAAGAATTGATTATATATTATGTGCGTTTGAATACAGGTTTGTAATTCCCCCATGCCTGAAAAAAAATTAGTTGTCTATAAATTTGATACAGAATTTTGTTTTATTATATCACTTCGGGGTAGGGACGCGAAACGAAATCACAACGCTTAATCTGTAGAGTGGGAAAGGGATCCTCCATAGAGAGAGGCTAGTTGGCACTTGTCATCAGGTCCAGGCTAAAAACAAGGCATCTCTAATGAGACAAGGCATTTTCATCAGCAGAAGTGGAACCCACTGACTGTATATGGTTTATTTGTTAGTTATTTTGTTTTTCACAGACTACTGTGCATGACAATTCCAGGAAATATGCACCAAGATCAATTCCTTTGAATAATAGGTAACACTTTATAATAACTGCACACTATTAATCATTAGTTAAGCGTGAGTAAACAGTTAATACATCATTTATAAAACATTAATAGACATTAATATGCAGTTTATAAATACAGCTATACATGTTTTTTTCTTGATTTATAAGCATATCTATAATGCGTTTAATGATTGTATTTTCATACTTTGTTAATGATCAATTAATAATTTCTAAATGAAGTATAGCATTATTTACAAACCAGTTGTTTAAGAGTTGTTAGTCATTCATAAGATCACTTAGAAAGTGTAAGTAAATGTAGTAAATACAGGTAGTTATAAAGCATTTATTAGTGGTCAGTTAACTATTTTTGTGAGCTAATCTAAAGTGAGGACTATTCATGTTTTGTAAAGCATTTATAAAGGTGATTTAAAGACTCGTCAATCTTCTAAACAGTAAAATGTAACAAACACAACGCAGTGATACAGAACATAAAAATATTTAACAGCCTTTAAAAATGCTTTACAAGGCATGAGTAGTCCTCACTTTAGATGAGCTCACGAACATAGTTAACTGACCACTACTAAATGCTTTATAACTACCCAAATTAACCCTTAATTACAGCATTAATACATGTTAATAAAGCATTTATTAACACATTAAGTTACCATCACTATATGTCTGAATAATAAGATGTATGAATGTACATTTAAATAGTTTATTAATCATTTACTCGCTCTAAGTAATCGTATGAACCACGGACAACTCTTAAATAACTGGTTAATAAAAAATGCAATTCTTCATTTAGAAATGATAAATTGATCATTAATAAAGGATGAAAATACAATTATTAAACAAATTATAGATATGCTTTTAAATCAAGAAGAAAGCATTTATAGCTGTATTTATTAATGTCTATTAATGCTTTATGAATGATGAATTAATGGTTTACGCATGCTTAACTAATGATTATTAGCGTGTAGTTATTATAAAGTGTTACCGAATAATATCCTATTTCTAAATCTGATTTTAACAACTGAACATCTTGACAATAGCTTGTTACCTCAATCAACATTCTTTGTATATTAAAGGTCCCATTCTTTGTGATCCCATGTTTCAAATACCATGTTGTTAGAGTATAAATAATATCTGTAAAATTATAAAGCTCAAAGTTCAATGCCAAGAGAGCTATTTTATTAAACAGAAGTAGCCTACATCGAACGGCCCGTTTGTACTACATTCCTCTACTTACTTCTTTAATGACGTCAGTAGAACGGTTTTTGGACTATCGTCCGCCCACAGGAATGCTCCCTCAACTCCCTCAGCTTGCACACTTCTTATGACTTACTGTGTTTACTCAGCTCTTACGGTGATTTTCTGAAGTAAAACTGACGCTTCATCTTTTGTGTGATGTACAATAAACTTTATTAAACTTATCAGTATATGTTTGATCATGGATACATACAAGCAGACGACAAACACGTTATAAAAACAGTGCGTTTTTCTGAGCCCCCCAAAAATGACAATTTAAACATGCTGTAAAAAATGATCTGTTGGGTATTTTGAGCTGAAACTTCACATACACATTCTGGGGACATCAGAGACTTATTTTACATCTTGTGAAAAGGGGCATAATATGGGACCTTTAAACGCCATAAGTGCAAATTTACAATTTCAAAAGGTGCAACCATCTATCTTTTCATTTTTAGACGTCAACGTAATTATTGTGCACCAGAGAGGACTCTAAATGTCTAAATGCTAAATTGTTCGGTTTTGTCATGTTTTATATGATATAATAATATTAAAATATGATAAATTAATTAATAAAACAACACATTTGAATGATTGAATTTATTATGTTGGTATTTAAAAACATTATTTACCAAGAAGTAGCTATAGCACGTCAGTGAACATCAGACCATGAAGCACTTATAACAGCATTCAATGATTAGACAAATATGTTACATATAGGAAATAACTGAATCATCCACAAAATAAAATTTCCTCCCATAACAATAATACATTACCTCAGTAAATTCGTCAAGAAAAAGATTAGGGAAATATCCTGTTATCAAGTGAAAGACTGTCAGTGTAAAATAAAGAGGCATATATTTCTTTTAAAACTTGCCAGTCCTCTTTGCATTGGATTCAACACATCACTTGCAAGTCTATATAGGTTGCACCCCAAAAATCAGAGTGCACAAATATAGGAAATAAAACTTAACTGTTCCCTTGGAATTCGGACAGCACTACAAAATGCCTGATGCATACAGTGGTAAATAGGGAAAGAATATGGATGTCTGTTTGCTTTCATGCAGTTGCTGCCCTATGATCACTCATTTGTAGAGGCATGCCACTAAGTGTTTAACTATTGACATGTCAACAGGAAGCTCTGTCTTATACTTTATGGATGGCATAATACTCAACTGAAGAATTCTTGAGTTTCAAAGATCCATTATTAAATGTAAGAAGCACAAAGAGATGTTTGTTACATTCCATGACCCAGCGCCTCATCTTCATCCCTGAAACAGGCCCATTGTCTGGGAATCGCTTGAACAGTTAGATTAGGGCCCTGGCAAAGACAAGATTCTTGTGCAGAGAGCAAATAGATCTTGAAAACAGGTGAATAACAAGGTAGTGACAGCCGATTCAACTCATCACCTCATTATTAAGGCTATGAAAGGTTCTGTTTCATACTAGACAACTGGCACAGTCAGTTTGTTCAGTGCATTTTAGTTAGAACCAGAAAAAACATATAGATAAAATATATAGATAAAAATATAATATATATATATATATAAATTCATTTATATTTTTACCAACTATTTTTCTGTTTTTATTGGTTAATAAAAAACACCCTGCAGCAAACAACAGAGAGTGGCACACTTAGAAAAGAAGTCTTAAGAGAACATGAGCTCATACATCATGTAAACACATGTACTGAAATGTTTGCAAAAATATAATGAAACACTGAAGAGAATTTTTTAATTAATTATTAGTAAAAACACAATACTAACAATTACAACATCATTATCATATTTATATATAGATGTGCTCAGTAGTCATAATGTAATACTTGCAATTCTTCAAAACTGGGTAACACCACCAATGGCAAACCCACAGAACTCACTGCACATTGTCTTGTCCTGTGTCAACACATTTTCTGTTCAAAGAGAGTACGTTCGTTCACACATAATTCTGTTTGTCGAAGCCACTGGGTGGAACAGAGCGTGCAACGGAGTAAACCATCCTGCTGGGTGGACCGTACCTATTCTCCTCCTGTGGGGGGCAGCTGCAGCAGAGAAGGCCCCCGCCGAGGAGCAGAAGGGCACTGGACGCCCATCCCAGGTAGAGAGACGCACCTATCTCCCTTTTCTGTGCCTCCATGATTATGGGGTTGTAGAAGGCTCTGATGATACTGTGAGCAGACCAACACACGGGGATCAAGTGCATGACCGCAGCACAGATGAAGGTGACTCCAGCGGCGATCATAACTCTGGCTTTGGCACGCTCCTCCTCTAGGCATTTAGTGCACTTGGCCCCTAAAATAGAAAGCAGGAGCGCCAGCACTCCCGTCACGATGGCGATCACACACAGTGCCCGGGCCGCCTGCAGGTCTGAGCTGAGGGCCAGCATTGAGTCGTAGACTTTGCACTGCATCTGGCCAGTGCTCTGCACCACACAGCTCATCCAGATTCCTTCCCATATGGTCTGCGCCGTCACGATGTTCACCCCGATGAAAGCCGTGACCCTCCACATGGGTAAAGCGCAAGACACAATGCCCACAATCCAACCTAACACAGCCAGGGTGACCCCTAGTATCTCTAACCCCAGAGCTGCCATTCTGATCACTTAGGCTGGAAGAACGTGCTAGGATATAAACTCACAGGTTGCGTTCGCTAAGGGAAGGCTCTCGGCACAATGAAGGCTTTATAACGGCAACGGCGAGGAAGGTGGAGTTATGCTGAAAAAAAGTCTCGGGGGATTGGCTAAACTGTGCTGGTTTTTGAGTAAACTTAACCTTGGCCAGGAAACGAGTTCGTTTAATGATTCAACCCTCTTCATCTGGTATTTCCCACTCCGAGACCAAATAGTGGACAGATAACAAAAGCCCAGCGGGGACTGGTTAAAGGATAACAGACAAGACCACACTTTTGAAGAAAAATTCCAACGGTGTGAGATTATAATGCATGCTTGAAACGTGTGAGCAAGTAAACCACAAACATACGGTTTCATCATTTTGTTACGATACTATGAGCAGACATTCATTTGAAATTGATAATTCAACTTAGGGAGCTGATTCTGCAGGATTCACTATAATGTCCACTGATGCATGAGAGCATGTCTGTAGCTGCTATCAGCGCCACAAGGCCAATCTAATCTAAACAGAGTCAATCTAATCTAAACAGCATCACAAATAGGCATATTCAGCTCTCTCTCTCACACACACACACATTATACACACACTCACACTCTAATCAGTCATGCATAGGTTTGTTGCATGTCTTGTGACCTTGCTTTAACCTTTTCAGTAGTTATTTATTTAGGAGCATGATACTAAGGAACAAGTGGAATGGGCATCTTTTCTGTGTGCAAAAGCACGTTCAATTCTATTGCATTGATGTGCGCTAAAATTGTGGTTTTGTTGCATGAAACAATAATTAATTCAGACACAATTGTTTTATATAATCTGTCAATATTTCAACTTAAACAGATAGTTCACCCAAAAATGAAAATTCTGTCAGTAATTTCTCACAATCATGTTGTTCCAACCTCGTAAGACTTTCGTAGTTCCAACCCCAAGTGACTACAGTGGCTCAATCGTAAGTTTATCAAGCGACCAGAATACTTTTTGTTCGCACTGAACTTTATTCCAGTGTTGTAGTACTCGAGACTCGGACTCGCCTCGGACTCGGTCTCGAGACCATATTTTAATGGTCTTGGTCTTGTCATGGACTCGTGTGCATTTGGACTCGGAATTGACTCGTACTCGAACATTTTTTTTTTTAAGACTCTGACTTATTCCAGAGTCCACTCGTTTTAGAATATTTTTCATGATTATTAATGTTAATAAAATATTTCTTTGAATTGATTGACACGCCCAGTGATTGGTGATTTTCTAGTGCGCAACTGCGCATGACAAATTGTAATAAAATTGCTTTTAACACCACCTACTATGTGGCCTTTTTACCCTAAACTGATCATATTTTTTTAAACTCTAAGTAAATTCAGTAAAAAAAAAAAAAAGGATTTCTCTAAGTAAATAAAAGTAAATTAGGTAATCAACCCTCACTGGTCTCGGTCTCGACTCGACCGTCTCTGGTCTCTGACTCAACTCGGACTCGACTCTCTATGGACTCGGTCTTGACTCGGACTCGACTCTCTCTGGTCTCGGTCTAGACTCGGACTCGAGTGAGGTGGTCTCGACTACAACACTGCTTTATTCAACTATTAATTTCCTTCTCTGAGGGCCTCTAGTGAGTTCACGTACTGTAGCGCTTCTGTGCTGTACGTCACAGGCTCACTATTGGCCGATGCTGGTCATGTGTGTGATGCATGTGATGTGCAACACAGATGTACTGCGCTGGTACACTATGTGAACTCACTCGAGGCCCACAGAAAAGGAAATTAATAGTTGAATAAAATGATTTATTTATTTATTTTTTTGCACACAAAAAGTATTCTCGTCGCTTGATAAACTTAAGATTGAGCCACTGTAGTCACTTGGACTATTTTTACGATGTCTTTAATAACTTTTCTGGGCCGGCAAGTTTCAATCGTTTAGTAGCCTATGGAGGAGTGATCCAGCTCTCATATTTCATCAAAAATATCTTATTTTGTATTCCGAAGTTGAACGAATCTTACGGGATTGGAACAACATGAGGGTAATTAGTGACAGAATTGACTTTTTTGGGTGAACTATCCCTTTAAATGAGTAGTAAACAAAATACCATTACAGTACCTCGAATTATAATATTTAATGAGCTGCAAAAGAAGGTTTGCATAATAACCCCCTAAAGCTTTACATGTTTTACTAATTACCAAACACTAGAGTAAATAGTAATATCTAGGCGTCCTTTAAGCAATAAGGCAGGTGCGTTTATCTTTCCGTGGTAGTCTCAGTTACGCTCTCCTGACTAAAGAATCAGGCACAAAGAGGTTTCGAGATTTACCAGAACAACCAGCGCATTGTCTCCATTCACAACTGGGAGAGTATCATTTATTTTTTTGGTAGACCTTTAAGAGTAGGATTGATTTCAAATGATGATAAAGTGATAAAGAGTTTTCCAAGTACTTTGTTTCCATAGTTCCTCCATTCAATGTTATTGAACTTTTATAGACTTTGAGGGGTGAAAAAGTAAAAAAAAAAAACAACAACAAAAAAACCCCAACAAGTTTTGATGTTTTCCTTCAAATCATTTCATTACTTTCAGATTTATACTTTAGTTTCCACCAATATAGGATATATGAATTTTTTATTTTGGACAAAATCTAGCATTTAGCGATTTCACTTAATTTTGATGGTCCCCTTAACACATTCTGTTGACTATAAGTAACGTTGCACCTACATGTCTACTAACTATCATTAATAGAGTATTAGACTGGTAGGGTTCGGGTTATTAGAATAAATTGACACTCATAGTCAGCTTAATGTCTGCATCACAATAAAGTGATAGCAGTAATTCAGCAGATAGTTTACTAATACTCTAATGAGAGCTAGTTGACATGAAGTTGCAAAGTAGTTATTGTCAGAAGAATGCATAAATAAATTGTTACCTATTTAGCAAAACTGGCAAAATAATTATTAATAAACGGACCAATGTCTGTTTCAACAAAATCATGTTCATTGATCATTTAATGAATCTTCCAGTTTGAATGGAAAAGTATCTACGTATTATAATCATTTCAGTGAGTCAAAGAGCTACTGATTATTCACCTATTAGCAACTGGGTCAAAAGACAAAATTCCAATGAATACTTTCAAATGAAAACAAAAACAAAAGCAATAATACTATTTTATATCTGCCATGTTGGTGTTCAAGATTCAGCATCAATTGTTAATTTGCTGTTGACATTGAATGCTTGTCCTTTAGCAGACTTGTTGGCTTTTCTCTCAAGGAGGTCCTTCATGTGCAAAGATTCAGAGCCCTCAAACATAGTCTCTCCTGTCGTATCCATTCACAGAGAGGGATTTGACCCCTGAGTAGTCCACTCTTGTCGGCACGGCATTGTTCTGTGCTTTTGAGGAGCAGGAACAAGACAAAATGGCTCCACCTAGGATCAGCAGGCAGGAGGCACCCCATCCGAAGTACAGCGAGTTCCCAAACTCCCTCTTCTGCGTCTCCTCTAGAAGCGGGTTGTGAAAATCCATGACGATGCCGTTAGCTGTCCAACAGACGGCCACTAACAGCAGCAGCCCACAGGTTATGAAGGTGCCCCCAGCTGCCATCATGATGCGTGGCTTGCTGGCTGCGTCTGAGGTGCAGTTGGTGCACTTCGCCCCAGCCACTGCCAGAGCCATGCCCACCACCCCGAGCAGAGTGCTGACGACGGTGAGAGCGCGCCCAGCCTGCAGCTCGTCCGGAAGTCCAAGCATAGAGTCGTACACTCGGCAGTGCATCTGTCCTGTGCTTTGCACCACGCAGCTCATCCACAAACCTTCCCACACGATCTGTGTGATGACAATGTTCTGGCCTATGTACGCCGCTACTCTCCACATGGGCAAACAGCAGGCGACCATCACGCCGAGCCACCCCGCCACAGTCAGGATCATCCCCAGGATCTCCAGGCCGGCTGAAGCCATTGTGCTCTCCTGCCGTGTGCAGTTTCACAGACCGTGGTGCTCGGTGTCCAGGACTAAACGCTGAAAGTTAGCTCTGATATTAGAGCTGTCCTCAGACTTGAAGACTTGCTTAAATGAAGAAACGGTGAAAGAGAGAAAGGGAGAGAGAGAGAGAGAGAGAGAGAGAGAGAGAGAGAGAGAGAGAGAGAGAGAGAGTTTCTACCTTCTTTATACTGCTAAGAGAAGATGGAAGGTGGAGTTTTAGATGGCATCATGTTTTGTGTGGTACAAAAGAGAATGGGGCTTTTTAAAGCACACAACAGGGTGGAAATATTCAAATGATCCTCTCAAATGCTTCATATCTGGATTGTAAAATATTTGTATTCCAGTTATGTAATTCTTTAGTCTTTAATGACATAAGAAAATAGGGGAAAAATAGAAGAATACAATCTCAGAAAAAAAGGTACAAAAGATGTCAATTGGGCTGTACCTTTTCAAAAGGGAAAACTTTTGTCCCTTTTAGGTACTAATATGTACAATTTAGGTGATAATATATATATTTTAGGTGCTAATATGTACCATTATGGTACCAACATGCACCCTTTAGGTACTTTTAAAAAGGTACAGCCCCAGTGACAGCTTTTGTATCTTTTTTTCTGAGAGTGTAGCGTCATGTATCATACATGTTGTTAGTGAAAAAAGTGTTTGAAATGCATTCAGTTAAAGGTAGAAAGAAGTATTGTATTATTAATATTTCAAGGTTATCAGAAACAAATTAGAAAAATAGAAATACCCATAAACCTGCAGATCACTGATAAATGTTTCTATTTCTTCTCATAGCGTTGGGTTTACCAGGACCACACACACACACACACACAATGTATTAAAAAGACATAACATATATTTCTTTCTTCCTTCGGCACCAGTAATCGTATGGTTCAGATTTCTGTTCTTTCTACACCTGCATACCTTGGCACTATTTAAAATAATACATTTTTGTCCCACATTAAAATGAAACTCCACTAGTGTCTCATGTGTCCACTTCTCCGGATAACCTTGAGATCTGCTGAATCACTGCTTGTTGCGAAGGGACAATTCATCTCTTTGTCTTCAGTTGTAAGACATAATCCAATGGGATCTCAGCAGTAATCATACAGTAGGCATTCATACTGTGCATGAGGTTCTAACACACTTCATTTAATCTTAAAATGAACATTTTCTGATAAATTTATTCACCCCAATGCCATCCAAGATGTTCATGTCTTTCTTTCTTCACTGGAAAATAAATTAAGCTTTTTGAGGAAAACGTTTCAGGATTTTTCTCCACACAATTGACTTCAACCCTTACGAAACAAAAATATATTGCCGTATATTGGAATATACCATGTGATATATTAGGCAATATATTCCCATATATAGGATTTAATATTTATATTGTCCAATATATTGCAATATATGCATAATCCATATATTTATATATATTGATACATATATTGCAATCAAGTATATAAAGTTTGTCTTTATATGCTTTAATATACTGCAATATATATATATATATATATATATATATATATATATATTTATATTTATGAAATTATATGGAAATATATAAATAAAATATATGTATAGATATGTGTTCAATATGTTGCGGAATATATTTTAAATATATATAAAATTGTATGGAAATATATAAATAAAGTATATGTATAGATATGTGTTCAATATATTGTGGAATATATTTTATATATATTAAATCAAATTAAATAAAAAATTTAATAAAGACAAGACAATAAAGAGGGTACAGACATCTTTTTACTTATGAGAGTCTCAGTCTGCATTACATTATCAATGGTGTTTTAGGATGCCAAACAATTATTATATTAATGTAATAATGATTTATATAATTATTCCTATGACATAAAATCAATATAGCCTATAAATTATGTACTATATAAATGAAAATTAATATTTCAAAAGTATATTTTAGTCAACATTACACTATATTAATATAGGAAAATGAAAATACTTTTGTCCTTATTTCTTCACTTGCAAGAAATAAACCCTTGAGCTTTTATTTAGGAGGAAACGCAAGATGACCATGCTGATCGCGTGAGCAAAGTGCACACTTTTCTTTAAATCACCCAGCACAAACAGGAAACCTATTCTTAAAGTCTTGTGTTGTTTTATAAAGGCACAGAGCTATGTCATGAATTTGATTTTAGTTCATTGGCAAAATATAACACTAGATACCTTTATGTTAGGTTATACATTTGTACATCTCATACTGTATGTGTTGTGAAAAGGCAGAATTCGGCAAAAGGCGGATTCGAACACAGGTCGAACACATCAAAAGCTGTTTCACGCACTTCACGCTCTACGACCTACGCCACTGTAGCTATTTTGTGATGGACGTCTTTTTGCAAATAACACTGGCACTTAGTGCAAATATACGCTCCGTTTTATCAGACAGGCCTCGAAACACTACTGGCCCACCGGGGAAACTCCCGACTCTCCCGCCCCTTGTGCCCAGGGCCCCTTAGATGTCATGGGACCCTGGACAAGTGCCCAATTGCCCTAATGGTTAATCCGGCCCAGGGTGCTACTTCGGCTGGTGGCCAGGGTGACCTGAGGGTGCGAGCGTGGAACAAAACCGCTGACTGTTTGTTCATGGACCACGCCCCCCTCTTTAGTGACGCAACCTGCGAGTGTTAAGGGCATTTTCGGATGTCCCGCGGTTTCCCAAAACGAGCCAATGGCAAGAAAATGCCATGGGTCTGCAGAATTTGCATAGCGTAACTCTGCCTCACCTCGTGAGTTTAAAAGGAGGAAGTGGACGCAACCGCAGTATGTCTTCGCTGAGGAGCCGAGACTGAACTCAGTCTACCCAGCGGTACAGCAGAAGTGGCAGGGAGACGTAACGTCTCTGTTACCTACTCAGGGAACAAGGGTTACATACGTAACCGAGACGTTCCCTTTCATAGTCACTTCGAGTTACGTCGGATGATGGAGAATGGGGGTCCCCTGTGTAATCACGCCACCTTCACAGCTGTCTTCCAGTGCCCCGTGAAAGTCTGATCCCCTGTCGTGAAACTTAACACGGACGAGGAGTCCAACTTAACACAGGAATACCAAGGTCCACTGGGGAGCATATCTCCGAGGAAATACGCCGCAGTACGCCTATCCGTAGGGAGGACTTAAGAATACACATACGGCCCAGAGGGCTTCATATGGAGGAACACAGGAGTCACCAACCTAGAATCTGAACTCCAGGAGTGGCAAGGTGGCTTGCCGAGGGAAGACACATGCTCAGAGAGGCTTACAGTGGAAATACACGTGTGGGGGTTACTAGCAGGAACCATGCACGCGGAGGCACCTAGCCGACGTCCAAGCAAGATACTGGCATCAGCATCAACAGTGCTGGAAGAACTCAGGGCTTCAAACGAAGGCTCAGCTGAGGAAAAAAAACGCACTTATCCAGTCCGTGGAGTGGAATGGCGAGAAAGGGAAGACACCTGAGCAGGTCCAGTACTAGCCGGATGAGCGAGTACAAGAGAGGACACAGGCTCCACTCGGAGATTATAGAATCAAGTAAATTTGTTGGGTGTCGCCCAGCCTGCAGCTCTGCAGATGTCTGCTAGTGAGGCGCCATGTGCAAGAGCCCAAGAGGAAGCCACACTGCGGGTGGACGCCTCCACTCGGCGTCCCGCATGTCGGCCAGGTTGAGCCAAAGGTGACGTTCCTGGACCACGTTAGTGGCCATCACCTGACCCAGGGAGCACTTTAGTGCCACTTTAGTGCTTTAGTGCTTTAGACCACTTTAGTCGCCCGGAGAGCAAGGTCGGTGGCGGCACGCACCGTCAAACGTCCCTGGATCAGTCCTGCCCTCGTGCATGTCCCTGAGCAGCTGGGCCTGGTAGACCTGTAAGGTGCTCGTAGCATGCATGGCAGCAGCCGCCTGTCCTGCAGCTCTGTAAGACCTCGCCACCATAGATTACGAGAAACTACAGGCCTTTGACGGGTGCTTTGGATTACCATGAGAGGAGGCACTCTGAGGACAAAGTTGCATCGCAACAGAATGCTCCACCGCGGGAAACCCAGTGTACCCATGGGCAGCTGCGCCGTCGAGGGGGGAAAAGGCGGAGAAAGCTGACGAACGCTCACGGGAGGTCAAAGGAGCCTTCCATGATTTCGTCAACTCCTCATGCAGTTCCGGTAAGAAAGGAATTGGGGTCGGCTGTGGGGTTGCGGCGGCCGCGCCCAAAAACCAATCATCCAACCACGAGCGAGCGGGACAGGGCAGACGGTTCCACTGCCCGGGACAGCATAGCAGTCATTTCGAGATCCGACACAGGCAACGCTGGAACTCCCGAGGGAGGCAATGCAGCCGCATCATCACTTCCCAATGACTCCTGCTCGCCTTGTGATGCAGCGATCGACATCGCGTCCTCCTCTGGAGCGCCGAATGAAACATGCGGGACCTCCGTAGAAAATCCCGTCTGAATCACCGCGGCACTCGCGGGTTGCAACACTGGAGAGGGGGGCATGGTCCGAGGACGTGTCGTCGGATCATTCCACACCGTCACCCTCAGATCACCCTGTCCCCCAGCCGAACTACCAGCTCTGTTAGAGGAAGCAGAACGGGTGGTGGATGCGGGGACTCTCACGTTTAGATCATTGAGTCTCGATCTTAGTGTTGCCATGGTCATGTTCCCACAAAAAGAACATGAGTCATCCAAGAGCGCTGCTTTTGCATGCTCAAAGCCCAGACACACAAAACAGCGCTCGTGCCCATCAGAAGATGACAGATATCGACCGCAACCAGAAAAACACGGGCGAGATATCTTTAAAAAGACATTCAACGTGCAGCTCTTTCAGGAGAGGAAACTCTGCAATGCTGAGGCGACCAGGGATAAAACACAGAGTCTGGCAGACCACTGCACAGATCGCAGGCAATGTGAAGACTCGCTGGGTACCGCCGTCACACCAACACTGGAGAGTTACTCGTCTCGAAGATGTGAGTCACTTGTAAACTCAGATCTTGTGGCTTGTGGAGTGAAGAGGTTCTCTTGGCTCCAAAGCGCGTCTGCTTCCTCCTTTTATACTCGCGAGGTGAGGCGGAGTTAAGCTATGAAAATTCTAACTCGGAGTGACTA